AATTCTAAAATTAAATACTCGAAAATAATTAATTGGGAATTAATTATTATTTAAATAATGTGATTATTTAAATTTGAATTTGAACACATCTAGATTTATCCATTTAAACTTATTTGATAAGTTGTTCAATTTATAAATTCAAATTAATTTAAGTTTGACTTAAATTCGAATTTGAATTTGAAATAAAATTGGACTACAGGATAAATGATGATTTTCTCTTCATTCCCTATCCAGTATTGGCGCCACACATAGGGATAGGAATCCCTAGCATGGCTGGCCACAAGGGATAAGGGATAGAGGAGAATTTTGGTTTGAAATTCAAATTGGAGATAGAGATTGGATTCCTTCTAGAAGTTTAACTTCTACTCTATAAATACTATTTTTTTAGACAATTTTCAGAATGGTTTTTTGCTCTAATTTTAGAGGTAGCCGAAATTTCTCTATAGAAATTTTGGAAACAATTTTTCAGCCCTAAGAGTTAAGGCTGGCCGAAATTCTCAAGATAGAAAGGAAAGAAAAATTTTTTCTCTAAAAATTCCACATCGTGCATGTGATGGTGTTTGTGGAAATTCGAGTGTTTATTGTAACCCGTTTTGTCTCATGTGTGCCCACACACACGTCTTCGTGGATTCTAGGAATTGACGTGGAAGACATTGGTTTTCTAAACACAAAGATTGGAGCAAGGACTGTTCGTGGTCAAAGAACTCAAGTTATCATCCGAGTCGGCTTCCAGGTATTTTTCCTGATTGAGTTCTTGATATATATAAGTTAATGAGATTAATTTATTCGTGCATAAATTAATATAATCTATAGAGTATCTCAAAAGTTTTATGAAAATTTTTATTATACACGATCCGTCTCTTCCCCCCCGCACCACCGCGCGTCCGCAGCCGGATTCGATTCGGCAACCAACACAGATTTATTTTGGAGCCCACGACTACTTGGCCGGACAATAATAAGCTACAAGTTACAAGTGCAACGTCCTCACTTGCGTTGACGCCGCTCTCATTATTGCACTTCTATTGTTGTCGTTTTTCCTCTCCTAATCAATCTTGCATTTATTTAGTACTACTGCCTAGCGACACTTATCACCTTAAACGAATGATCCATTACATATTAATCAAATTCTCCAAATGTTTACCGGTCAACCATAAAAAATAATGTTGTTACTTTAGCCTTCAGGCACACATTTTCTTACTGACAAATACCAAATTTTTAACGTACTAAAAGAATTATTCAGTATATCGGTATGTCCATCCAATAAAAACTTAACATTTAGATGATTAATTTATGTTAATTCTGTGAAATCACAATTCTCTCTCTTC